TTTGGAGGTGAAGGAAAAATAACGCGGTAAAATAGGTAAAAATGAAAGGAAAGGCCTGTTACCAGGCCAGACGTCATGGGCCGGTTCCGCTGGATTCCAGCATTAACTTGACAAATTAAAGGCAAAACTATGTGGAATCTGGTCTCTTTCAAGGCGCATTGTGGAAAATTTGTTTCATGTGCCGGAGGATGAGACGGCCGCTGAAGTGGCGACTGGAAACCTGCTCTGTGATTAAGACTTCGGCACGGCCTACTTCCTGGATTCGGCTGCGTGTTTTGACCGATTTCATCCGAATTATGAAAATGACCGGCACATCGGAGTCTCTAGTTCAAAAGACCATTCAGGAGTCTGAGGAAGCGCACGTGCAAAGAGAAGCCTCCTTCCCTCCAAAGTTTAATGCCATTCACAGGCGCGGTGTGATTACATGGCATGTTAACGCTCCTGAGGACAAAGTCGTGTCTCGGGCCGGGAGGGGGGATTCATTTTACAGCAGGAGCAGCCCGACGCAGATGTTAACAGAATCGCCGCCATCTGCCTGGAGGCGGCGGCGGCTCCGCGCGCCCCTGCTGGTGAGTCGAGTCGACCCCGTCGGCTGTCATTCGCAAATGAAGCAAAGGGTTAAATGTGAGCACAGACACACTTGCACATCTGGGCGGACGCACACAGTGGCATCGCGGCACAAAGAGACTTCGGCTCTTTGTCGACGCTCACACAAAACGCGGCGGCTGCAGGTTGGTGATTAATGAGCTCCTCGGCGTCCCTCAACCTTCGGGCGCTATCGCGGAACGTGTGCGGTGGAACATTTGATTCTCAAATACAGCAGAAGCCTGCAGGGTTTTTATACAACCCCACGGCTGATTGTGCAGCCTTGTTTCAATATATGTGAATTTGCTTTTAATCCAGCCTCGAGACGGGGAAGCTGAAATAAAATGAAAACAAATGCATGTCTTTCATCGTTCAAGTTCCCAAATGTGCACAAATAATATTTCTGAGTAGATGTAGGCAGCCTCCCCATAGTGACACCATGCCAACAAGGGATCAAGGAAGGAGGATGCAGGATGTCAGAAAGCCTGCAACCTTTAAGAAAGAGAACATTTGATAAAAAGCACGGGGCCGTCTCTGCAATTTCCTTTCCACCTGCTCTAGCAAGTCGTCCGTGGACCGTCTCCAAATAGTTGACCCGTCTGACACCGACTTCCCATCAGGTTCATGTTGCATTTGAACCCTCGTCCTTCTGCGGTCCGTGAGGAGCCCAAGGAGAAACTACTGTAAGAAACAATAACCAGTTATTTCTTCTTTAAAAAAGTGGTTTAGTTATTGATTTTATTTGAAGACAAAAACATTTATTATTACTATTTTCGGAAGCACCTGTGAATTAACATATGCATATATTTTGTAAATATATATAAGTAAAAATAAACAAATGCTAACCCATTGTTAGCAAGGTTAACCATTCTTACCCATGGTTACAGCCCTATCAAAACCAACTAATGACTGCTAAGCTTCCAATCATTGTTTGTCTGATTTAATCATTAAAAAAAAGCATAGTGTGAATAAACAGCTTACTGTTACAGCTTGTTCACTGTTTATGTGCGTGTAGTCCTTTGGGATTTTGAGTTTGTGATTAGTTGGGGTTCTTTCCAGGTTGGAAATCAACAATCAAGTTCCAGATTTTCGACTGGGAACTTGAAAATTCCAGTGAAGCTGAAACGGTGCACAGCGGTAGTTGTTCCTCACACTCAACTTAAAGCAAAAGGCAATCAGGCCTTTGAAGTCGGCACACTCCATATGTGCCTTTGACGCGTTTAAAAAAACATCTGGCCTTTGTATCACCTCTGGCTGTCAAGTTCTTTCTTCTTTTTAATCGTTTTAAATGCTTTTTATTCTTTCTTTCTGTTTTCTGTTTTTATTCTGCTGATTTGAACAATGTCTGGCTCTAAAATAACAGTCCGTTGTAGAGCGGAGAGCTTCAGGTCTCAGTGAAAGCTGATGTAATGTAATACGGCACGAGACGGCTGGACGGGAACAAATGAAGCAAAGCACCTGTGTCTTCGCCTCGGCCTCATTACATCCCTCGACTGTTTCATGACAGAAAAAGTCAGAGAATCGTCACATTCATCCGAGCTCGTTTGATGTCTCATCAAACATCTCGAGGCCTGACTGAAGTCAAAGCTCTGAAGTTCCCCACCAGAGTAATTGCCCCTCGGTGGCAGCTCTGGCCTGCAGCTGCATACTCTGTGAGCTCACATGTATTTGCCCCCCTCTTGGTCACATTTACATAAAAGGAACAGAAAAGACGGCCGTTCTGCGGGGAGAGACAGTAAGAACATAAGACGAGGGCACACCAGGGGATTCAATGCCGTCTCTGAAAAGGAAAGAACACATTGCTCTCATTATTCTTACATGATGTCTTAAAGGCGGATTCGCGTGTTCACAAGCTGCGAGTGTAATGAATTATGCCATCTCTCAGGCATAATTGAGGTGACATACTCTTGCTGGCGACGGGGGAACGCCGCATGCTCTCCGAGTCGATTACTGAGTCAAGTCAGTGAGATTCATAGCAGAGCTTTCGCTCGTATCTGAGATGAGAATTTAAGATAGTATTAACTGGGAGCAGGTGTGTGGTGAACAAATGATGTGGAACCTTCTTGAGATTATGCAACCAGGCTAAAAGAGTCATGTTGCATCGATGGTGTTGCTGTTGGAGTGGAGTTGTTCTCATGGATGTACCATGGCGTTGCATAAGTGCTTTGTGTTTGTATTTTCCTTTCTCAACGTTTCCTTTAAATGATACATGATATCGGATTAAAAAAAAGAAAATAATTGTGATCGGAATGAAATAAGGGTATTTTAACGTGGCGATGCAGATTATTGAAACAAGTAACCAACGTCAATCTAGAGATAGAGATCTGGACTTGGACATTGGATATTTAGATTTGCAACCAATTACTTAATCTCTGGTATCTGTGGGTTTTGAGTAGATTATAAGTAAGAAACTCTAGATAATTTATACAATAGTGTTGTACCATAATAGGTTATGGTAAATCAGGAGGCTGCTACAGTTGGTAGCAAAACGAAAGGGAAACTGTGGCTGTGTTCTTTACATATTGCATCTTTATGTCAATTTAGAAAATAAATGTATCTTTTGCCTTTATTTACCTTAAAAGACCCAAGTACTAAGATTTTAATCTTGTCTGGTTGTAGTGATTACAATATAAGTTGAACCGTCCAGACCCCAAACATTAAAAAATAAAACCTTTCCATCACCATTACGGCGCTTTTTACTAAGAATTCTTGTCTCAAGTCATAAGCTGGAGTGGCAATCTAACTTTTGGATTCAGTCCCACCACAGAGCAATCCAAATCCCTGACACTGTGATGTTTAAAGCGGTAAGCTTGGCCCATCTGCGCTCATTGAGTAAGAGGCTTTGAAATATTAGGAGCATTCAGATAGTCCCTCAGTCCCGGTAGCTAAAGACTCCGTCATGTGCAAAGGCCTAATCCCAGTTTCCGCTTTCATTGATCCATCAATCTGTGTTTATTCCATAATGTTGTAATCTTGTTCATCTTTCCGTTCCCTCTACATTGTACGTGTCTCCCTGTCGTTATTCAAACGTTGGATGAAACATTCTATAACTAGAAAAAAATGTTGATAGTTGGTAGATATATAATGTTTGTGTCGTTGCTGTCTGAAGGCTCTAAATTATAGACAATATTTTCTTGAATTATAGAACTGCTTAGATTTTTGTGTTGAGCAAAGACATCATTGTAGTTGTTAATATATTCTAAAATGAAATGCAGAAAAGAAACTCTGTGTTACTTTTCAAACCTTATGCCGTCTCAAGGGCAAAGTTCATATTGTTTTATAAACAAAACAACAAAATAAGTATTGGGAGGTAACAGTTTGAGATTTTTATATCAGCACGTATTACATGTTCTCCTCTATCTGCTTTATGAACGTGAGGCTCCTTCAATCTTCTATAAGAGGAGGAGCACAAAGGAGCCGGCCATCCTTCTTCGACTTGATTAAAAAGAAAACTCCCTCAGGATAAAGCTGAAGATGGATTCCTTTAATATCTCTATCGCAACCCAACCAGGACACCTTCTCCTCATCCAGCACTTCTCGTAAATATCCTCCAGTCAAAAGTGATTTCGGCTCTCTGGTAAGCGAGGCCAGCGAGGCCAGCGAGGGGCCATCGGAGCAGCTGTCATTTCTCACGGGGCATCGTGGTTTGTCGCGAGGGCAGAGGGGAGGAACAAGTGCAGGACTAACACACGGGTCGACGGTTCTGCATTGAGTTGGTTTATCTACTTACGATTGTGCAGCATTGACCAAACAACTTCTTGTTTTTTAATCAGTATTAAGTGTGATAGTGCAGATACTGACTGATGTTGATGTTCATATATGACGCCATATAGTTGAAGGGCCTGGAAGTAGTCTCAAGTCATGCACATAGCTAACCCATGTTTTTAGATAATGCATTTGGAGGATATCTCAATAAATAGGTTACATTAACAACAATGTTTAAACAACAGCGAGTTTAAGCTGGAGCCAAGAGGGTCTTTCACAACGGTCCAACCAGCTTCTTATCTTCAGCAGTTCTTCAACATATTTCCAATAAAGACTGGAATGATGCATCAAATATTATGTTACTGATCATACTCTGATGGAAATTAAAATATGCATTCCATGCAAAACTTTGATGTTGCATGAGATTTTTACCCAACTCATGATGATATTATGAAATCTGCTCTATCTATCTATATATTAGAAACAGCTTATCACGAGTGATTGTGATCATGGTTTTTAAATGACATAACATAATAATGTTTAGCAGGTTTGATATTTAACATCTTAGTTTATCTAATTAAAACATTGAGCTGATGACTGTGTAAAATGGAAAATTAAGATGGAGGTCTGTTTGTATGAAGTGACCCTTTAAGAGGAAGATGGGTTGAAGGTCGCAATTCGGGTTCAGAAATAGTCAACGTCTCAATCTCTTTAACTATTCTCCATATTTATTTTCTGTTTTGTGTTTCTTCACGTCACGTACAAACATCTGATGGCTATTTCTAAATCAACCCAATAAGCCCACAGAGCTTATATATTTACAATTAACTCAAATCCAAAACATGTTTTGTGGAAACCCGTTGAACCAAACACAAACACCATTTCTCCCCCGCACTTAAAAAACGATTTCCGAGCATCCAGCTAACGTTTGGGACATTCCACAATGGTGATGTGGTTGAAAACATCCTGAAGGAGCTCTTAGGGTGAGAACAGAGGGGCAGATGTTAAACCTTTTTTTTCTCCACTGACACACACAGGACAAAAAAGCCTCCGCCCGGCCACAAGAATGTAAGTGAGCAGTGTGTTTTAACCAGCTTGACCATAGCGTGCTTCATTTAGCTGCGCGTCCAGGACTCTTCATATTCTCCTTTCCAAAGAATGTAGCTGTTTCTGTGGTATCTTATTTTGAAAAGCCCCAAAAAAGCCACTTTAACAATGATGAAATCTGCTCATCGGTATTATTGCATTCATATTGAAAACGAGAAAAATTGACGCATTCATAACAGTGGTATGAATTACATTTTTCATCAAGGAAAAAAATATTGTTTACTTCTGTAATCACAGGAATAAAGTTTGTTAGTTTTTGCTTGGTGACAAAACGGGGAGTTCTAAAAAGTCCTCTCGGCTTGTGGTTTAACCAGCCTCCCAAAACGTACACAGGCCTCGCACATGTTTCCCAGGCTCTCTTTGTGCCGGATGGATATTTTAATTATTCCTCATACGATGGAGCACAATGTGTGTTTTTATGCTGGTCCGCCCGGGGCTGTTTTTTTCCCGTTGTGCCCCCCCCCGCCCCACCTCCTCCGGGTCTCCTGAACGTAGCTGTCAGTTTGACTCTGGCTCATAGTTGGGAAAGTGGCCACCTTCTCCTTGCCGACATGCTGGCTTCCCTTGGCTTGGAGACAGCGGGCTCCCAGCTCCCAGTTCCCAGTTCCCAGTCCAGCTTCCTGCTCTCCATGGCGAGCCCGGCTGGCGGTGCAGCCTGGGAATAGGAGGTCGAGAGGTTGGAGTGGGGACAGAGAGGAGGGAGGGGGGGGGGGGAGGCACTTTTGAGGGATATTTCCTTTCAAGGCTTCCGCTTCTCTCATTTTCTCCTTATTATCGGGATGACTGATGCCAGACCTCCAGCTTGATCCAGCCGAGGTGAGAGATGAAATACAAAGTGCAGACAAAAAAAAGCGTAGCAGCTGATCATTTTAGGATGAATGGAAAATGCCAGCGCTGGCAGTGAGGCCTGCTTTCAATCAGTTTTTTTCCTGCGTGCTTCTTCCACCAGGATGGCCCTAAAAGAAGAACACTAGCCCCCTTTATTTAAAAAAACACTATTATTCAACTATACCCACCCTCCCGTTCCTAAAAACTCAATTCTTCACCTCCTCGACCTCCAAAAGGCCTCTGCACCTCCACCCGCGTCCTCCCGCCATCCTTAAAGGCAGATAGAAGTTTATCGCATGTGTCGTTCACAGTGCACACTGCAGCTTTACGTTCACCGGCCGGGCTGCTGCCCTCCTCCGCCAAGCCTCAACCTTTGTTGGCGGCCGAGCGGATGAGTTGCGCAGCCGCAGCCAGCACTTTTATGCACCGCCGACACATTTGAATATAAATGTGCTGTAGGCAAAGGCAAGTCTGCACGGCGGCTGCGAGACTGAGCGATTTCCGTACCACGGGGGGGGGCTCCGCGGCGCAGTGGGACGGAGGGGGCTCCCAGCACACATGGACATTCCAGACGAGCACACGCATCGCCACGGAAACCTTCGGACTCTCCTCCATCAGGTTTCCTTTTAGTGAAAATGAGCAGAGGCAGATTTGATTAAATGATGGCTCAAACTCAAGTGGATGCATTATTCAGCGTGCAATATAATTAGTGAAGTGATTTATTTAATCAAATTTGGTTCTCATCAACACCTGTGGAGAGAATGTTGTAATGGCCTAAATATTTTAAAAGAAGGAACATTAGTGGCGTCTTTACAAGTTGCAGTAAACATTTAAGTTGAGAAGAGTTTGTGGAAAATGGAGCAAACAGTAAGCAGTAATGCTGATGTTAATGTAAATTCAGCTGGATTACATCTGGTGTAATCTTCTGTGGGTTTACATTTGCTAAGCAATCAGGGACAATTCAAAGAAAAACTACTTAAGAATCAGAATCTGGTTTTATTGCAAGGAATTTGCTTTGGTTTATTGGTGAGTAGACAAGAAACAAACATGGAGAGTGAAATATATCCTCTAGTCTATGGGACATAGATGGAGTCGCAGTATATGTATTCTATTATAATCTAAATAATATGCAATGTGCTGAGAAAATAGGTAGAAAATAGGTGCGTTAACATGTAAAATGTTGAATATGACACATTTGAGATGATTGTTTAGATGTGTTGTCAAAATAATAACGGCACTAGAGTAAGCACAGCCAAACCCGATCTCACTCTCAGCCTGTGTTCACTTACATTTTAAATGGAGTAACTCCATACGTATCCTTGGCAAATGGTTTTCTCTCAAGTCAGAACTTAAGCTTCACTGCCGTACATTCGCCGCTCCGTATTAGAATGGATTGCATGTTGAATCAAAACTGACTCTCAGGAAAACAACCTGCTGAGAACCTGCTGACAGCCTGTGCAAGGACAAAAAAAAGGCTTTGTCGACTCGGCGCCTTTTACAGTCCGCTCGGGGGAATTTTCTCTCTGGGCAACGTTGATGAGGTTCACCAAACTCTGCCTCTGGTATCCAGCACTAATATACATATGTGATTATTTAAATCCTACGCGGAGCCTAATGGAGCCTAATGGTGTTTGGCGGAGATGTCGTCGGCCACGAGACTGCAAACCTTAAACAGAATCTGTGATATTCCGGCAGCCGTTCCTGCGTCGCCTCGAGTCACTGCCGTGCATCTGTCCCTGAATATATACGCGCGTGTGAAAACCTCACAGTCAGGGAGTCATACTGAAGGAGCATCGGCGGGGATGTTTATTTAGCATCTGCACACTCGCGCTACAGCGCAGACGAGAGGCAGAAACTGGAGAATACGCTCATTATGCTGCCTTGACCTCTGAGGTCAGGGACAGGAAGGACGCCGGCGGACACAGCGCCAACCCGGAACAGAAGTGTTTCTCTGTTTTTACAGATAATGAGATTTACTGTCTACAGGAATTAGAAAATTGTCTCTGAGCACCTCTTAATGGTTTATTATTATAAGTTTATAAATGGTTGAATAGGTCGTCTATTTGGAGACTCTCAATGTTAATTCGTCATTTGTAAAGAAGTGTTCCTACATTAACACTCATTAGCATGTAGTTCACAACAGCATCTACACACGTTTTAGTCTTGCTTGTACATTAAGTGTTTCGTGATTCCTAAATTATGGATTGCCCATTTTTTAAATACAGTGTTATACACATTTTAAACCAACTTTTACATATTTAATGTAATAGAGAGAACATTAAATGTGGCATTGACTCAAAATAAACTACAGTGTCTATTCCCATGGTTACGTTGTAGCTTACTTGTACTTGCGGCTCTTTAAAGTTCAGTTGAAAATGCAATACATTCTTCATACATACACAGTGTGAATAACGTCCATCTAAAACTAGTGTTGGTCGAACATTGTTGTGGATGCACTGCCATGAGCGCAGAACAAACCGATGTGTTTAGCATATTTATTTGTGGTACGATGCAAAGAGCCAGGAGATCAGTACAAGGCTGCACACACTGGAAACGCAGCCAGTGATTTACAGTAGAGACCAACTGCAGATGTCTTGGAAACCTCTCGCCGGTTTGCGAACTAAAAGCTTTTCTTTATTGCCTGCAGTTGTGAATAAATGAATGCAAACTGGTTGCACCTCCCCCGAGTCCCAACATCCGAGTCATTAGATGTGATGAGGCTCCGCTGGAAGGACGGAGGGGAAAAACTAGGGAGGGTCGGATGAGTGGAGCGGGAGGAGGGAGGATGCCGTCTGGAGAGAGAAAACACTTTAGTTTAAATAAGACTGATGAGCTTTTGGGTGAGAGTCGTCGTGTTTAAGGAGGACTGGTGCTTTTTCCCACAACACAAGTATGGAAGGTCAGCAGCTTTGTTGGAGGACAAATTCTCAGTCTTAAGACAGCAAAAAGTTATTCTTCTCAATAAATGTAGATTGTTACTACAAAATGTAGTGCATATTATATTCAAAGGCATTTCTGTATTTTGTTAAACTAATAAGTATTTAGAGGTGTTGTGGGTTTTGAAACGTGAAACCTCTGCTTTAATGTACCGTATCGTTTTGTCCATCAATATCTGCAAAGTTTACCCAAAGCTTAACGGGAAAATAGAATTGACATCAGACATGAAACGTACTTTCTGCAAGAATAACCTGTTAAATACGTCTTCGTGCTTTCAAAAAACATTTCAGAAGTATTGCATGTGTGAAAGGGACTTAAAGTGGGGGATTTTATAGCTGCAGAGATATTATCAGTGGCTATTTGCATAGTTTTCAAGTTCTCAGCTGTTCCTCCAGCACCACTTCCAACATGTTGAGGCTTTAGCGCACAGACGAAAAGTTTACAAATGTGGCAAAATGTATTTCCATTATTTATTCTCTTTCTTACTCCAATATCATGGTCACAGGGGTCTGGACCCAAGTCGCCAACTCCCAGCATGCACTTGGTGGGAGGCCAAGTTGTGGCAGGATTTGATTCAAGCAGCGGGAGGGGTCCGAATTTTATAGCATGCTGTGTCCAAACAGACAGTGAAACTTCTGCATCTACAGCCTCCAGACTTCTTCAGGGACCAATACTACAGTAATTACACAGACATTGTCCTTAAATCATGTAAAATGGTTCAAATCTGCTCCATCATCAGCCTTGTTCTACACACAAATGTAAATTCGTGATTAATTTAAAAGAAGGGAAAGGTGAAATAACACGAGCCTGGTTCTACGAACACAACGCTGCGAGGTGATTCGTAACACGGTGATTGATTTATCGCTTCTCTCCGTAGTCCACGTCTACATCCACATGTGAATACACACACACGCACATCAGCTGCTGGGAGGCGGCCTGAGCGACACGAGCTGCTCCCTCGCGTGACCTTCCACGCCAGAAGAGGAGTTCTGATGTCCAGATACCGTCGGAGAGGAAAGGGGAACCGGCTCACCCCAGAGTGTTAATCGATCGACCCAAAAACAAACACTCAAAGCTACAACAACACACAGGAATCCTTTAATGACACTTTAGTGAGGCGCTACTCCCTCCTTCCTAAAAAACTAGATGAAATGATACAACGTAATTCCATTGTGTATCGTCATCAACTTGTTCTAGAGATCATTGGCTTCATTTGTTTATTTTGTACGTATTCCAATGACATAATCTTTGTAATTACTGCATCCTAGACAATCTGGCCTTCGTATTGTATCGTAGTATGTTTTGAAATCATTATCTTAAGTATTCCACCCTCTTAGGAACTAACAACCTGTCCAACCGCGCTCCCTAATGAGATTCTGCATTGGACGAGGCCATAAAACAAAGTAAGTGCTTTGTTTGTTTATTTTTTTCCAGACAATTAAGTTACAGTTACACAGTTTGCAATCTTTCGAAATTGGCAGAGTGCAATGAGGAACTATTGCATCATCTCCGTTAAATAACACAGAGAAAGTAAATAAATAGCGAGATGGCAACCAATTGCTATCCATCAGTAACTGAAATTCTAATAATCCAGTTTTCAATTCGAGGCCCAATGACACGATTGTCTTTCTGTAATACAAATGTATGTTTCTGCCTTTCCCGGGATCCTGCATTGATCCCTTTCCTCCCAGTAGAGCATCTGACGGTAGCAGAGCGAAAAAAAAGGACTAAAAGTGAACGAAGTACCCGCTTACAAACTCGACCAAACCATCCTTTTAGTGCGTGTAAGTGGTCAGGCCACAGGCGGAGTCAGGCATCCACCCGACATTCCCGTGGACGGGAATATTGTTTGGATTGAGACTGTATTGCATGTGACGGAGGAATTATTGCTGAGACTGCACAAATCTGATTCCAGTAAAACAATGAGTTTCGCACAAAGCCCGCGCAGTCATCCAAGTGAGGCATTTTCATTATTAGTCGTTTACCCTTGAATGCTTTGGCGGAACTGTAAACTGTGTACACGTATTGTATACAGAGGCAGAACATCTGCAAAATACTGCGATTTTCCAACTTTTATTTATCGTATGCACTGCTGTTTTGATTTCAATCTGTCCATTTGTTGCGTTTGATGCATGGTAACCTGGGTTATTATACTATCTCTGTGTCTCCCACACGCAGGGGCATGAAACACGAGTGCAGCAGTAACCTCATCGCTCTTGCTGCGTTATAGCAGGATCCCTGCGTTTAGCACCGCCCGGGTCTATGATTTCATTACACGTGCTTGATTCAATACTAACAACTCGGGCGACTTCAGGTCAATTACTCAATGACAGCGCTGCAGGCAACGGCATCAATCACCTGCAACTAACCCTCGTCTCGTCTCCCGTGTACGCTGCAGCACATCTTGGCCCGTCTTCTTTTTTTTGTGCTTCGACTAGGGTTGAACATGTACGTTCTCACAGGTCTGAGTGAGTTGCCTTCTTATGTCAGAAAGAAAGCGGATGACAAGATGAGGCCCAAGGTCAGACCGGCCCTATTTTGAGAGGGACAAGCGCACAAAATAAGTGCATATAAGAACATACATATATTTATTTTTTCCCGTACCAAAGGGCCCACACTTTAGCGCAAAACACAAAACAAGTGGCATGACAGAAATAGAAATTACCACAACAAATTGTTTCGGGTGCCAAACAATTTCTAAAGCAACGTATTGGATTCATTTGAAATTGGACACTAGATATGAAAATCTAAGGATCAGCAAAGTCACCGGGATCCATCCGCCTAAATCCTTAAACTAAAGTGCCGGTCCAATTGAGCGTGATCTAATGACAGATGAAGTCAGAGTGGATGACTTGCCGGCATCTACAGGCGAGGTCGTCAACTGCAACCCACCAAAGCCTCTCCAGAGGGGAGTGCGTCTGGCTGCATACAGCCCCGAGCTTATAGGCAAACGACTGTGGCCAATGAAAAGACGCGAGTGTCCCCAATCAAAGCCAGCGTTGGAAGCTTCTCCTCTGGTTCACGGTACAAACATCTCCGCCAGCAGGAGCCACTCAGCATGTAGATACTAGCAGCTCATTCTAAGCAAAAGTCAGGAGGTCGCCAGCTGCATTGATCCTGTTTGTGTGAATGGCCGTGCACATTTTTGTCTACATTTCAGTCTGGACATAAGAGGTGGACTGGTTGAGACCATCCCCTATGTCATGACACCAGCATGCCAAGAAAGCAGGAAGAAACTGGTAAAAGAAAGAAAGCTCAGATCAAGTGGATTAAAGGTAGAAGTGAGAATGAAGGTGACAAATATTACCTCCATTAGCCTGAAAGAGCCCATACAGGAGGTCGGTAGCCTTAATCGTAACTTCATCCATCCATCATCAAACCTCTTATCCTGCACACAGGGTCGCGGGGGGGCTGGAGTCCATCCCAGCCAACTTCGGGCGATAGACAGGGTACATCCTGGATTGGTCACCAGCCAATAGCAGGACTAACACAGAGACATACAACCATTCACACTCACACACCTACGGGCAATTTAAAGTCCCCAATTAACCTGATCCCCAGAGCATGTCTTTGGACTGTGGGAGGAAGCCGGAGAACCCGGAGAGAACCCACGCAGACAACATGCAGACTCCACACAGAAAGGCCACTGGGCGGAATCGAACCCAGGACCTTCTTGCTGTGAGGCAACAGTGCTAACCACCACGCCACCGGGCGACACGTATCGTAACTTCAATGATAGTTAAATCCTCAGGACATTGTTCAACATGCCGAATGAACTGAAGCAACGCTGTCTATTTGTTTGCATTGATGTTATTGTGCTTGTGTGACAGTCTGTACCATGCCCGCTCATGCGGAATGTTTCAAAGTGTGTAAATGTGCAGAGCAGTTTTACAGACCCTTATCTTTCTTTGTAATATTTTGTTTTATGATTAAATAAATGATTTCCTTTTTGGCCTGTACGCAACCAGACCCGCCTCCCAGCTCCCAGCAGGAGCCGCAGTTAAAACAGAGGTAATGGCCTTGAACTGCAAGAGTCTCCGCAGCTTGGAACGGATCCCCATGGTCGCTTGCCCAGATTATAGAGCCATTACTGCAGCTCGACTAGCAGAAGGAGGTGAAACCAAGCTTGCTTCAAAGGGATTGAAGTCAGCTGGCTGTAAACCAGTATTCCCTATACAGTACTAAAAAAAAAAAGAAAATAAAAGTGTTTTTTGTGCGTGATTCTCTCTGCAGCCCGATGTTTTATTCCTCTGATTTTTAAGGAAGATGGTTAAAGGTGTCATGGTCGATGAGGCAGATGAGGATGAGGAGGAAGAGGGATACTGTACGTGTAAAAGAGGAGTAAAATACCTTCACGCACCTTCAAGTCCACGCACATGAACAGGAAAAGTCCAACAACGACTCCGGGGACTGAATGTGAGTGATGGGGGGCACGATTGAGGCCACTGCAGACAGCTCGTCTGTTGTCCTCGGAGATAAGAGGAGGATTCAGGCGAGATGGGTCCAGAACGGGAGGCAGATTGTGTCTTTGTCTGCAGGCTCAGCATGCAAGATTTAACACCTTCGAAGAACTTCTGTGGATGGAACAATACACTTTGAGGATTTGCTTGTAAATATATAATGTGCGGAAGTTCTGGACACATTTAGTGTAAAAAGAGGCAATGGAGTTGGATTCAAATTGATGCCCCCCCCCCCCCCCCCCCCCCCCCCCCATGTGTGAATGGAACTGTGTCAAATAAAGATAAAAGTTTTTGTTTCCTGATGCTGATACTAATCTCAAAATGACATGTACAGTGATGAGCTCCATGAAATGAAACTGACAGAAGAATTTGGCAGAATGTATTGTTTTATAATGACTTAGCTTTGGCATGTGTGGTGTATTGTTTTGCACGAGGAGCACACTACTTACATACAATTACATAAATTCTCTGCAGATTTCAACCAGCTGTAACTTATTCCCACACAAAAAGCTGCTAAACATACATTTTCTTTCTGGCTCCATCTGTCTTTGCGTCTCCCCCAAAACCCGAGAGACAGAAAGACCATCAGACCATTTAGATTTATTCTCATCTCTCTCAAACAACGCAGTTAATGTTTTGATGTACTGGATATTTCTTGCAACTTAAACGCCCAAAAGCAAAAACACAGGTCATTTGTCAAAGTCCCGTGAATGTACTCGGCCTGCTTTGTTCCCACGTGGCTATTTTCGATGCAAACTGTTACAGAAAGTCACGTTTCGGCTGGAGCTGTGGAGATTTTGAACTTCACCATGCAGTTAATTACAGTCATGGCTGTTCTCGCATGCTCCGTGTCTACGAGGAACAGATGGACAAAGGGATTGACAGTCTAACTCTGTGACACATTGCTACGCCAGCAGGAAATCTGGTCGGGGGGCCGTGTCCCACGAGTCGAAAAATGATAAAGTTAGTGTCATTAAAAAAGCAAAGGGGTGGCTGAACGGATCGTAAACTGGGTCGGCCCGAAGACAGCAGAACACAATGCGGCCTCGTGGTGAGGACAGATGGCCTGTGGGGAATCTGGGATGTCTGCACTACCAGGCTGTGAAATGGCCGCTGCCCAGGATGCGTTGATATGAAATATGAAATTTGCCATGAGTATGTGTTCAGAGAATTGTTTAAATTTTCCTGAGTTCAGTGAGACTATATATATATATATTGCATGCATTACATGCATACATTGATGCGTGTTCACATTGCCAATTAATTTCCATGTTTATCTCGTTGTTGTTGGGGTAGTCCATGTTTGTGTGACAGTCCACTGTAAATGAAAGAAAAAGTAGAGACATAACGCCATCTAGTGGCTGCATATGTATACTACAGATTTAAGGATTTACTATTATTATTTTCTGGTCCATATGATTTAGTGTTGTGTTCCATTGTGGGTTCTCACTCCAATATAAGGCAAAGCGGAAATTCTTTGAAATATATTTTGTCGCACTTTATATGACAACATACACACTGTTACGTGTAGTTTCAACAGGGTTATTCTGATCCATAAGGGGGTCAAGGGTCAGTTGCAAAGCCCCAAACATTTTTTAAAAACGTTGCACTGTTGGACTCCTCATGAGTAAGCTAAATATCATGTGTAAGACTGATGGAATGCCCTTTATTTGTACTAAAGAGAGGAACAATTGGCATTTACAATTGTTAAAAAAAATGGAGAAAATGAAATTCTCAGTGTTTTTGTTTTTGTCCACTTGGAAATAATAATAAAATGACCACACTGCTTGTTTGACTTAGTTATTAGGAATATAGCAATACCACCAAAATAGACATTACTCAGTTACTGATAGAAATAAATCTATGTTTGTGCCAAAATACTGTATATCCCCGTTGCACAAGTTATTTTCCCCAAAAAACGGACGCTTTTAGTTCTACGGTAAAGAATGAGCCACTGGAAAGTCCCACTAGTGGTAAACAGTGGGAGACAGTTGCATCATTAGGGCGTACTGGATATGATGGTGACATCGCCTGCAGTCAGGCCCCAGCCACGTCCTGCTCTCCTGCCTTAAACTTTTATTATCTTCACCACGGCCAAGGAAGAAGCCCAAGTGTGACGTTAAACTGTAAACGTCCAACCTCAGTGATCATTGCTACTGGCACATTATCACTAACCACGAGATCATCCATTTTCCATCTCAATCTAATCAAAACAGACCCGAGTCACCCAGCGAGTACACACACACGTAGGAGAGGAAATGACTTGGTGTGCAGCCAAGAGCAACTTCCTCATTGAATTTAACCTACTGAAAGAATCATATGTTTGTTCTGCTGTGACTCTGGGAGGTTTCCCAGAGGACAGCGGGTCTCTTGCCAGTGTCAGCGCTGTCTGTTTGCACTCCTCTGCAGCAGCGCGACTGCGACGTCTCGGGTCTGAGGCGCAGCTTCCACTGTGATCATGATCTCCCACCTACGGACACGCGAGCTCCCAGGGGGGTGGAAACGACCTCGAGCAAACGAAGCTGTCTGCCGTGTCCTCTCGTGATGGTCTCGGCCTGTTGGCCCCGATGGGGGAAAAAAACAAACGTGTTAAACCGATGTTAAATACAGCTTGTTTTGTATGGATGCACTTCTGGTAGCTGTTGCCAAGGCTTGTGGAGAGGCTGAACTGTGCCGGGACGGGAACAGTCTTTCTTTATGTTCTTTCTGAATATGTTTTCTGTGCAGTACTCGGGATGTGGCAGTTGCATAATTAGAAATAATCCTGAAGGAGTAGACGTTTTCCACGTTTGTCCTCCTGCAGAGCATTAGCTAAGGTCGCCGCAGGTCATCCTGGCTCCAGCCCAATCTGTGGGTAAAAACAGAACTAACTTTGACCTATTATTAGGTACACAAGCACAGCTCCAAGGGGAAAATAAATATGCTGTTTTAACAGTTATTCAGCTGACAAATAACAGCCAAGTTAAATCAGTCCCACATTTTTTTTGCATCTGCTGCTCACCAAATATCAGCTTCTTCCAACAAGTGAACTATTTGTTTCCTGAAGTGTGAAGTGATGATCTACATTGAAAAAGCGGCACATTTTTTAGCATTGACTGAAGGACAAAGGCACATAATGTCACGGTGTGGTTCACTTCCTGTTGTATTTGGTAGTTTTCTGCCACTCGTGTCCCCGGGTAACTTCACTTCCTGCCTTGTCCCGTCATCTCCTGTGATCGTCTAATAGTTTCCACCTGTGTCCAATCACCTGCACCTCCCTTGTGTATTTAAGCCGTGTGTCTCTTGTGTCACTTGTCGCGTCATTGTCTATCGTTGTGGTTGTTCATAGTTTCCTGCCTGCTGTTTTTCCCCCCTGGTTCCTGTGTGTTTTTGCCACTTGGCCTTTTGATTTTGCCTTTTGACTATTAAAGTCTTTTGTTTTCTGTGAAGTCTGCATTTGAGTCCTGCCTCCCCCACGCATCCTTGACACATAAAGTAAGACATTGTATGAAGAGACAATGACTCATTGCCACCACAGATGAAATAGGTGATAGAATAAGGACAATAAATCATCGACATACGCCTGTAGATAGTGAACCTGATGACAACCAGCTGAAAGCATTAAGAGAGTCAGCTTTTAAGGGAGGGAGGGAGGGAGAGCGAGTCACATCAGATGTGGACGGGAGGGGCAGAGAAAGGAGCCCTGAGGACCGACGCGGGGATCAAAAAGCTGCACTGTAAGAGAAGGGAAGACATGCGAGAGGAGTGGGTGCAAACAGGCAGAAGCTCAGTGGATGGAGAGGGTGAGAGTCCTGACCGATAGTGACCAGGCCGCCATGCTGCCCTGGAGGATGGCCATCGTTGGCCTTTTCTACTTCTGCATCAGAGCAGGTGTCACCCAATACCAGAATAACGGTAAGACTTGAACATGAAGCTCGCTATTTCAGTGCAGAAGAGAGAAATGTTCACTTTTGGTTTTCACTAGTTTTTTTAGTTTGATGATTTAGCAACAACGCTGGTCAATTGCAGCTGTTTCAATTTCAACTTCTAAAAACGTTCTGTTTATAGAGCAGTGATTAAAACACTCTTGACTCTATTGTTTCTTGATTTCGCTGTCCAGTCCAGAAAAAGAGCAATCCTCGTCTCTTTATTTTCTCGCCAAAGTCTTCCTCTGAAGTTTTTACTGAAAACAAGGATAACAATGAAAACACATTTAACAAGCATGCTTTTCTAACAGGAATGATGGCATGTATTAGACTCAAGAACATCCCGGACATTTCAATGTTATTCAGCAGGGCTGAAGCAGTTTGCTTCATCAAAACAAAGCAAGCCCCTTCTACCTACGGTGACAATACTAAGAGTAACATTTAAATCGAACTGGACAAAATAATCGGTGTATTTTTAGTTAAAGCAAATTTCCATTTTGTCAAGCTACCAGGTTCAGACCTCATCTGCACCTGTTTCTAATTCAAGGGAGGGACCGAAAGTGATGTGAGAGGGGAAACTAATATCCTCCAGTGAATGAAAAGCATACTGTGAGATATTCAGGGAATTCCTTTCATCTCTCCTTTCATCGTGATTTGTTAAGTTAAGGTAGAACAATCCTGGTGGTTGCATTTCTGGTTTTGGTAAGAGGAGTGCATATTCAACAATTGAAGCAGCAATGCAATAAAACAACTGGAAACACCGGAATTTAACATTTGGCCTCTCATTTCATCTGGTAACAATGTGACTTCGGTGTGCAGTTTAGTGATGTGTGATTTTTAAGGATGTCTTAAGTTTTCTAAAAAAAATGACCTCTCACTGCAAGCTGGAGCTGCCGAGCACGTGACTTTGCTCGTGTTCCATGTGATCTAAGCACAGAGAGCTTGTGATCTTCATTATTCTCTTCTTTTCACCACTTGCATTCACGGAACACGGGATCACCTCATACTGTGTGAATACAGCTTGGCTCATCCGATTTGCAACACATGTACTTAAAGTCATTTAAATGCAAGGTTAAACAGAACTAATGAAAGATGTTTTCAGAATTTATGATGAGCATATCATCACTGTGCTTGAAGGAAATGCATTAAATCATACAAGTTTCCCATGCAGCGCGTGAGCCCCCTGGAACTCTGCTTTGATCACATCCAAGCATGCGTGCAGTTTCATTTCACACAACAGACATTTGAGCATGTGTTCACGCGTGGCGTTGCTACTTATCTTTTTCTGAGCTGCAGCTTATAAGCGCCGCTCCCTGTTGGCGTAAACATAACAAAAGATTGTATTTCCTTCTCTCTGTCGGGTAGAAAGTCACAGAGCAGAGCTGGAGGTGGACTGGTGGAGCAATAGAGACACCGACAAACCGCCAGAGTCGGTGGCTAATTAAGTTAGCAAGTAAACCCATAAACATGCATTACAGGGGGACATTATTAAACTTGGAGGTTTGCCCGATTGTTGCCCCCGCTAGTTAACCATGGCGTGATCCTCTCATCGACATTTATTCCTGCGTTGTTAATATTAAACATAACAATGAATAACTTTGGTTAAAAAAACAAGACCGTCATAATTTTTATACAGGATGACCTTGATTAATGATACCGTATACTCACCCCAATAAATGTTTCAACATTGACTCTAATATGAAAGAATAGTGTGTTTAAATCATTTCTTCCTAAGTAGTTAACATGTACTGTATAACATTTCCTGTGTATGCATAAAACAAAGTTGCAATTTATGAAATGTAAGTCTCTGACTTGTCTAATCAAGACAATATAAGGCAACGGACCATATGACATGCATTAATAAAACCAGCCAGCAAAGACTGTTACTGGACAGTAATTGAGAACAGCGGTCTACATCTCCCTGTAAATCTGCAAAATGTATTGAATGGATTTTTATGACATATAGACTCTCGTCACATTGATTTTTGTCGTGAAATGGTTTAATGTGTCCAATACACAAGCAAATACCCTGATGCATTATAAGGGCTTGATATGGACGATGCTGCTTGGAGCGTGTTACAATAAGTCCATTTCAACCATGAGGATACAAACCCAGAACAACAAGAAACAGGAAAGTGCATCAATGCAATTCTGCAATTTAATCAAATAAGCCGATTTACAAGTTGCCATTATAATGGCACGAGTTAAAAAAAGATGGCTTCCAAGGTTTGCTTCCTGCTTAGAATCTGGAGGTTGCATTGATCTGAGAAGTAGAAAGTGTACTAAAGTGTGTGTTAACATATGGTTGTACTTCCTCGTGCTAAAACCAGTAACAAGGGGAAAGGCTTTCGCCGGGGAGATTCCTTGGATCGCACGGGATTTGTTGTGCTCCCCCCATTGCTGTGAAAATGAGCCTTAAATTCTAAGCCCACATGCACTACATGCTGGAATCATCTGCACGCTGTTGTTAAAATACAGCGTGTTACAGCGCCTTTCTCTCCGCTGCTGCCTTTGAAGTCTGAGGTCACGTCTCATCGCCTGCAGAGAGGAGTCATCTGTAAGGTCAGAGGTCATAGCGTTTTAAAAGGATATCGGGGATGAACTTTGAATGAACACCTTCAGGTTTAGCCTCTTTCTGATGCCGACCAGGTTTCATGAGGCATCTTCTGGTCATGTTTCTTAACGTGTTTCTTGTCTGTTGTGCTCTGTGTTTATTGTCTGTACAAATGTTTTGGTGGCAAATGAGTTTGAAACTCAAAGTTTTCTAATCTAATCTAAAGTGCAGTATGTCCTGGTGAGAGCCCCATGAATCAGAACAGCGTGCTAAAACACTTCAGTTTGTGTAGACTGCTCGTCACGTGGATCAACAGGGTCTAGATCAGAACTTTTTGACTCGCGGGCCACAATGGGTTCGGAACAGATGGATGGTGTGTTTGTGTGAGCTAATATGAATGACGTGTAAAAATCACTACATGAACAGGATTTGGATTTTAACAAGTAGCAAAGCTTTTATTTGCAAGGCAATTCGACAAATTTCACGAACATGAACACAGAAACGTGACTGAGCAAACATCATGAAACCAATTACCTCACTTCAACTTCTTATTTACATTAATTGAAGTTTGTTTGTTACAATTTACATGACGAACTATCAATCCTTTCAAATGTAAATGACCATTGTCAACATCCAAATCAGGGCCGCATAAAATGTATATGTACAGTCACCAAATCTTCAGCTCTTATAAGTGTGTAAAGCTCCTTTTGTATGAAAACAAATGCAACTGCTTGTCCCGACCATAAAAGAGACCCCCTTAAATACGTTTTAAATACATTTTAGTGCAAGACGTTTTCTTGGGTCATAAACCAGCATATTCTCAACCGAACCTCCACTTTTCATTGAATTCTGTTCTTTCTCTTGTTCATTTTTTGGGTTTCATGAGCGGTTTTTACACCTGCTCGGTGCCGCCAGTTCTCTCAAAAGCCCCCACCTGTCACGCGTGTTCACGCGTCCACGTTGCCTAGTAACGGACGCACGGTGGCCGAGGGCGGTTCAACGCCGTCATCTCGGGACGCGGCGCGTGAACTGGTGGGAATGCGCGCGTCTCCAGAACCCTGCAATGAGTTTATTATTTTAACGGACTGTCGTACTTTGCCCATGTCTGGTCTTAGAAGCCCTTTGTGTCCATAGCAGACGACAACGAGGCACAAACGCGGACGGTTTTGCAAGGGAAACTTCTCCTTAGCATCTATTGTACCTCATTCACACTCTCTCTTATCTCTCTTTAGCTCTATTTCCAGCTGCGAGCAAAATGAAAAGAGGGTTGACAAGTGTGGTGATTCCCACTTTCCACAGCTCCCTGAAAGACGTTCATCTATTATTTGAGGTGAGACACTTGACTCCATGAATGGAGTGGCTGAAGTGAAACTACGGCCCAGTACAACCTCAATGAGCTGTTCACTTCTTTTCACCTACTAGATCCTGCTGACTGGCGTTACCTTCGAGGCGAGCGGAGAGTTCTCTGTGCGAGACGCTGAGCTGGCTTCCCTACGCAAGACCAGGAGCCTGGAAGTCATCTGCCAGGAGATCGTCCCCAGGAAGCTATCGGACGTTCTTAGGCTCATCGCTGGCCTTTCCCGTCACGCCGGTCACCTGCGTCAGGAAGATTTCGAGCGCACCTTGTTGACCTTGGTCTACGCCTCCCAAGCGACGGTCAATTCCTCTAACGAAAACCAGCGACGCATGTGGGCCGAATCCTTCGTTAGTTTGTACAAAGCCATCGAGCTGGATCTGACGGGGGAATAGCTGAGTGGACACAGATGTTGCTGCCCTCCTGGTGGATTTACTCACATGGAGGAGATCCATAGAGATCGGTTTGTGCATCGAGAGAAAATGTGATAGATAGAAGTGTTAACAAATAAGTAAAGTGAATTAGTAAACACGTTATTATTAAAATATGTACCGTCCAAGCAAGGTTAATTAAAATATGAGGCACCGCGTAAACAATAGCTGTTTGTAGTTTGTATGCTGTTTAAATGCTCGTTGCAATAAAAAAAAAATGAAACATGGTGGTACCTTGAATGGGGTGGTGATCACCTTCTAAATATACCGAGAAGACCAAATACATCCAACATCAAGGGAGCTGAATAATTCCTTAGCTTCACTTGAGTGGTATGCTCTTTAATACAAATGTTTGTATGGTTATATAGTATATCATTTATAATAATTCACAATAATCCGGTAGGCTACTTACGTAACTCCCAAAAGAAAACCATATCTTATTCAGGTTTATGTCAACTTCTCTCCAAAAATAGTTTTTACCGTAGAAACACGTGTCTTTAACAAGGGGAATGCAAACAGAGCTGCCTCTGATGCATTTTGGGTCAATTCTGAAGGTGCTGAAGAGCATGCTGCGAGGGTACACAGCTCACTAAGCAACTGCAACAAGCACCTGTGAAGGCCGTTGGTGTCCACGCCGCTGCTTGGACTCCAGGGCATCGGTGTCTGCTCCGTCCAAGGAGTCGGGCTCACCGGGAGGGCAGAACGGTACGTACCGCAGCCAGGAGGACGAAGACAAGTAAGAGGTGATACCAAAGGGAAGGTCGTAGACGTCTCCGCTCTCCAGCGTGTTGCTGGAGTCTTCCTTGTGAGCTTTGTTCCACGCCACGATCCCTCGTTCCAGCTTTGAGCCTGTTAGACACGTGATGAATGAGTTAAAACCGGATGCAAACGACCACACTTGACTTCGTGAGAAGAGGATTTAGATTACTTAAACAATTTAAAACTTTAAAAACTAAGCAAAGAATTTACCTGGAATAGTGTTGTCTAATATGAAGCCTAAGAAACCTCCCACAAACATACTGGTTGTCAAAAGCACCGTCAGCACCTGGTCCAGTGCAATCACACCTGAACACAAACATTCAAATGAATTAACAAGTGCAAAACCAAGTGCTTCATCTAAAACTGAAAGATATTACAGTGACGTTTTATTCATGTACCTGTAGCAATAGCTGTGGTATTTTTAAACATCCAGTTGGGAATGACCAGACCACAGAACATGGAGAAGCCAAAAATGAAGATGTTTCGAGAGGAATTCATATCGACATACTGAGAATATGAGGAAAAAAAGGATTAAACCAACATTTAGGTCAAGTTAAAAGAAAATGCCCAAGATTTTACAGTGTTGTACCTGCAGGTTAGAAACTCCTGCTGCAGCGATGACGCCAAACATGACCAGGAACATCCCTCCGATCACAGGTGATGGGATGGTGGTGAATATGGCGGCCACTTTACCAAACACACCTATAGCGACGAGCAAGACTGCGCCGGCTATAATCACCATGCGGCTGCCAACCTGCAAAAGCAGAAGGCAGACAATAACAAGACTTTGATTGAAAAAATAGTTTTTAAACAAGAATCAATAAACCCCAAAATGAGATTGGAGAAATTTCCGCGTTTACCGAGGCTTGTCTTACCTTTGTAATACCGAGGGCGCCGACGTTCTCGCTGTAAGAGGTCGTACCGTTCCCTGTGCCCCAGGCTCCGGCCAGCAGACAGCCCAGTCCCTCGATGCCGATCCCCCTGTTGATAGCGTGTTTGGGTGGAGGTGGAGCCCCGGATAGCCTGGCACAAGCATGGTAGTCTCCTACGGACTCTATCATGGAGGAAATCACGCCGGCCAAGATGCCGACCACCCCTGCCAGGCTCACAGTCGGCAGTCCCCACTGACCTTAAGTTTGGATTGAAACAAAGAGAGTTTAGAAACTGCAAACCCCTTTCTTTTGCTATTCACTTTTGTTTTTAAAGTGGGCCTTTTACCCGGGTACGGAAAGGTGATCCAGGGAGCTCGGCTCACAACATCTCCCTTTACATCGGTACGGGCCAGGTGGCCATACTGGTTCGGTTCAGTAGGAAATACGTCGCAAATGGTCAAAATGTAGCAAATGAGCCACGGAAGAGTTATTCCAAGAAGAACCTGAGGACGCGTAGGAAAAGGGAACAAAGTTTAATTAAATTCTTCATTTACTTGATTTACATCTGGACCACGTGCTCGACGTCACATACGGGGAGAATCTGAAAGATGTAGACACGGGTGGTGTGCAGCCTTTTCTCCTTGCTGAAGGTAGGGAAGGGCACAGGTATGTGACGGAGGTACTGTGAGAACAGAATGATCAGGACGGTGGTCCTGGAGAGACAAAGGAGGGGGGGGGGGGGGGGCAGATTTAACGTAACTTATTTAATCCTAACCCTAACCCTAACCCTTCGATTTGCAGAAACCTCTTCTCTCAGAAATCTCCTTTAGGAGAAAACTTAATTTTACTGAATGAATAACGTTTGGGTTACGTGCAACGTAACCAGAAAGTGATCATGAAAGGAAAAATAACGACAGTAAGACTCAGACTGTAAATCAACCTGCACCCTAAAACTGACACCTTTGTGAGGGAATGTCACCCACATGCCGGAGATGCCCCAGTGGTGGCCAGCTTTGGTTCCGGCGGAGTCAAACAGGGACAGTCCAATGAGCGAGATAGTGGGAGCGATGGTGAGAGGTCCAATGAAGCGCATGAAGAAGCCGATCAGGCCGGAGAAACCGACAAACACCTGGAAGAGTGAGCCCACCATGATGGACCCCTGCAGCTGCAGGAAGACAAGCACGACCACGCACACATTTTGGTTACTATATGCAAATGATAGATTCAAGAGCTGTTCAGACCAAAGGCGCTGTTGAATTCGATATGAAACATTCGATTCATATGACGGGAAAGTTAAGACAGTTAGAGAAAGAGTTGGTTACTTTGAACGTTACACTACACACAATTATATGTGTTTTCAATTGTTAATATCCTGTAAATCTCTGAGTTCCACAATAAATGTATAAAGGAACATTATATTTAGTAAGTCAGTAATCCAAGGTAAATTTTTTAATAATTACAAGCAAATGTTAGAGCAAATGCGGTACGCAATGTAACTTCTCACAGAGTGAATGGTTTACAGAGAATCGTTAATACAAAGAACGGATTACTTACAGCTCTCATTCGACTCTGCCACACTTCTATGAATTCTGGGGAGGAAGTGTTGACCAGGCTGGCATTTTGGGTCCAAGCGGGACATGTCCACTCTGGCGTGGACAGCATCGCCAGTGAAGGAACCAGCAGTGTGAATGTGCCACCTTGGAGGATGGGAAGTCTGGAAATGTCAAAGAGACATCAGGAGTGAATTGAGCGAAGGGGGAGCCCGACAGATATGATGTGAGAGGAGGAGGATTTCATTTTTTTATGGCAGTTTCTGTTTTCACCCAGAAAGAAACCAAAAATCCTTTTGAGTTGCTTTTGTTTTGCTTCTTGGTCTGTTTAATAGACCTTTTCCTTCCAACCGAGCAGCATTGGTACTATGCCAGAGAATGTTGATTTAGCAATAGCTGGACTCCAGACATAATAAGATTAAAATGCCTTGCTTAATCCCACTGTGACAGTAATAATAAGCCAGCCTGCACACACAGTACAAAATTGTTCATATTGTTTTGCATTATATTGTGCCAAAATGTATAACTATTTTTTTGTAACTCAAAAGGGAGTGCATTGAAGTCATATTATAAAACAAATGGTGTCTCAATATGCCATTTGTTTTTGCCCATTTCAACCTATAGCAGCTAAAAGTACTCATTCAAAAACATACTACGGTGAAAGTTTTCCATTTGTCCTCTGGTAATCCCATAAATAAAAGCCGTGACCGCTTACACAGTGGAATATTCTCTTGTCCAAAGTTCACTCTGACAAATGAGGTGATAAGATCCTTTTGATTCTTGGACATTCATCTCTCAAACATCTTCCTGCTCGTAAGAATACCTCTGCTTTACTTCCTTACCTGACGCCAAAGGTAACTTGCAACAGAGTGCAAATACCAGAGACGAAGAATATGGTGCTGATGAGGTGGCTCTGGGTGAGGCCATCATACTGCAGACACAATCCCCCTGACAGGATTAATGGGATTGCGATGATTCCCCCAAACGCCGTCAAACAGTGCTGGCAGAACAGATATAAAGAAATACATAAGGAGAACTACACAAGCTATTGATACTGTGAGGGGATAACAATCCATAAACGTCCAAACTGTAAAAGATAGTAGAACTCATCAGACGACATATATTATTTAAATGACCTATGACGAATGACGTAGAAATGGTAATGGAAAATAATATAAAAGAGCAAATACAACGGTGTCAGGTCTTCAAAGAAGGTCTGAAAGATCACAGCTGTCAAACACATAAATTGGGCTTTGGTAAAGAAGACCAGAAGTCTAACGGAGCCTGAAGGAAACATCAAGGCTCTCATCTGACAGCATTGTCATGTTTGCATTGTTAAATGATAATCAGAAGCTATGACACATGGTCACCTAACGAGGAAATAATAGCCTCAAAAATGCCTCTAAAAGCCCTTTGCTGACGTACCTGGATGCCGAGGATGATGCACAGGTACCAGGGAGGTACATCCGTCACACAATATGCCAGCTTGTTCCTTTCCTCCCCCTCCGTGGACGTGTCCGTTTCTTCTTCACGTTTTGTGTCGGGCCCCTCGAGCTTCAATGGGTCAGACAGAAGGATAGAGTGAGGCCAATTAAAAACACACGAGACAAGAGACTGCAAGTTCTTGTAATTGATTAAATATTTGTTAGTTAATGATGATTTTATTTCTACAAAAACCCAAATCAGTGGGTATGTATTCAAAAGTAGGACTATTTCACTCTTTTTTCTTTGATAAGTATAAACAAAGTAGCATTTTGTAGTAATGATTTGTACTTTTATAGTCCGTTTTAGCGTAAAAACCATTAAACGAAAATATGAGGCGTAGCCGCTAAACCGGAAGTACGTAGACTTTCACAGTAAGAGTCAACGCAATGGAACGTGCGTATGCTAGAAATCCGTGCGCGATGCATGCGGGACTGCAGTGGAGGGTGAACGCACGTAAACGCAGCGTTCACGCACCTCTGGAATTTTGGAAATAGCTTTTACACACCTTGAAGTGCCGTTTACGAGCCTCAAAGTTCATCACGCCTATAAATACATTTGGTATCATTTTAAAACACGGTTACGTGTTGTGGATCAGCCCACCTGTTCGGATGGATTCATTAGTCACGTTGACTTTTGGATCTTTCTGTTAATGGTTAAGGAGCAGGGAAAGCGTTAACTTGCAGGATGGCTGTTTTTGTATTACACGGTTCAGCTGTAACACCTGGGCCTGTTTCCAGAGACCTTTTTTTTGTTAAAGGTCCTAATAGAGGTCCTTTCTTTTGTCCCCTTCATTTTTTTAGGCCCACACATACTTTTCTTTACTGTTTTCTAGAAATTTAATAAACTAGGAGAATAAATATACATAAATAATCCTGGTCCGATGGGATGTGTGTTAGCAACAGTAGCTGACTACACGCAGGTGTATTTTCATTCAGGCATGTACACAGCGGGTACTGCAGAAATGGCTTGTGAACCATTGCCCCGGACTACCTGCTCTTTAGCATGTCGGACACTGTTGATGTAATTCCCACCAAATATCACTGTTCTGCTGAAGCCTGCTTTGGGAGGATGGTGTTTTAAAACTGTTGAAAACTGTGACCGTAAACTGAGAGGATAAACATGTTCCTCGAAATGTAGATGAGATGGCAGTTTAGTGACACTGGAATGTAATTTAGTAGAAGAAAGGAATGTTTGGAAAGGTTGTCTCCAGTAACCGAGAGACACCTTTTACTTGAAATAGACTATTAGTATCCGCTTTAGTTGTACATTTGAGTAAGTTCATCACCAAAGTCCAAAGTCAACTTCATCCCGAGGAGACTGTGATGTCAGGAGTCACATGGTAACTCTGGAGGAGGACAGAATCTGTCCACAGGACAACTGGTAACCGTGTCCTCCATAAATCTGGCCTTCATGGAAGAGGGGCAAGAAAAAATCTGCTATTGAAAGAACCATAAAACATCCCATTGGGAGTTTTCCACAAGCCATGTGAGAGACACATCAAACATGTGGAAAAGGTGCTCTGGTCAGATCAGATTTTTGCCCTCAATGCCAAACGCTGTGTGTGGCGGACAGCCAACACTGCCCATCACCCTGAACACACCATCCCAACAGGGACATGTGGTGGTCATGGCATCATTTCACATTCTATATTTGACCTATTCAAAAGTAGAAGAAAGAGATAAAAAATGACAAGTGCTCACAATATCTTCTTGTAACACCAATCAGGCATTTGAGTCCATCTTGAAAACTGTTGTGGCAATTTATTCATTTGACCTCTTTGGCTTTCATTGAATTGAACATTGAATTCAGGATTGAAGTGTGACAAAAAAAATGATGTATTCATAATGTTTAATATAAAGAAACCAAAAGGCTCTTCATTAGAGATATGTTTGGTTGTATTTGAAATAAATATAACAAGATAAATACAACAATGATTGAAAATTAACCCTAAAAATCACATGAAGTAAACTGAATTAAATCCATCTGTAATAACATATGAAATCTATGGTTTAAACACACGTATTCTGCCACTAGTGGAGATGAGAAACATGTTTACTCTGCGTCTCCTGTAACTGCCTCTGCGGTCACTGAAGCAACACGCAAATCCAAACATCCAAACTTTCCACTGCGTTGACTCTTACTGTGAAAGGTTACGCACTTCCGGTTTTGCGGCCACGCTTCGTAGTTTCGTTTTAAAGGCAGAAAAACAAAAAAGGGATTAACGGAGTAAAACGCTGTCAGTTGTTTCAAAACTAAATAAAAAGAGAAAAGAAAACGGCCGCCCACTTCCGTTTTTGGTTTAAAACGAGAACACGATGGTGTTTCCGTATTTTCGTTTTGTGGTTTGGACGGTAAAAGAAACTATCAAAAGTTACACTGACCAGGGACAAATCAAGTGTGACAGTTTACAATGCAACCCGGACGTGTCCACACTCCCGCACTTTAAATAATAATAATAATACAATATTTTTGAATAGCTTTAAAAAAATCATTTTTGTCAAACATTCCCCAGGTGAAGAATTAATCAAAAGTCATACTCACTGCAAAAGCATCGACATCACGACCATTACTGTCCCTTCCTAAAGTCATTGTCGGACGACAAATCAGGTGGCCTTTATGGGATTGTAAAACTGTAAAGTGAAGAAACTGCACCGCGAGGGAAGGGAAGACGTCAGGAGAGGAGGGGAGACAAGAGGGAGGGAGGAGCGGGCCGGGGGGAGACAGAGGGAGGAGAGATCCGGGAAGCGGGTCGGTGCCGGTGCTCTTTGGCAGCACGGAGCGGAGTTTCGTTTTGAGGACTAATAATGACTCCCAAACTGGTCAATGCGAGAGTGCATTGTTCCTCTTTTCCCGGTTTTACCTCAAACAGCCTCCTAATCTAGTTTACAAAGCCCCTCTGAGACGACAGACCATCATGAAAGGGTACGATTCAGTGAGGGGAATTTAGGAGCAGGGCCTTCAAGGCAATGCACTGTTTAGATGACTTTTTTTGTTATAAAACAAGTCACATTTTGGGAGAGATAAGGAAAAGTTGAAATACAGTCTTCCGGCCATAGCTTGTGCACGTGTTTGCCTTTTCTGGCCTACTTTTCTTTCCAGTTCCAGCACCCGATATTTATTATATAGAGGACAAACCTTCCAGACTATCACATGTTGTCACATGGTGCACATCTCTAACTGATGATGGGTCAAAGTTCAGTGAACGTTAACTTAATTTATTCCATTAACCATAACTTTCTACTTCCCCTACAATATATTACATTCAATCAATTCATTATTAGTTTATATTAAGAGTTTGATAGCGGCCCACATCTACTTCATTAAGGAAGTCGTACTACGGCAGCAGGAAGCTCAGGTTTTCACGCAATTGGCATCCACACAACGTTATATTCGCTGAGTGTTTTCTTGTTTCAGTGTGAAGGTCCAGGTGACAGGCAGGCCGCTGCATGACTCGAGGAATAAAAAACCTGCAGTAGGCTATTTAAGCACAAAGGTAATTAAAGGAACACCGTGTCTCAGATTAATCCCAGAGGTGCTGCTTATCAAGTTTTTAGTACTGCAATACTAGTTTTTAGTGCAATTGTAAAAGTACACTAAACATTACACTAAAGTACACTTCAATCGTTAAATAATTTCGATAATTAAAAATGTAAAAATAATCATAATTATATACAGCATAACTGTGCTGTATGTTTTTCTAGTGTCTCCTTCTATTTAAATATTTTTTTTATTATTATTTATTTTAATAATGAACCTGGTGTACTGGAAATTAAGACCTCATGGTGGTGTTAGCTGAGACGATAATGTAAAATGTTTCATTCAAATTGATTTAATTGTTGTTGAGACATTAGGTCTAATAGTGCAGAGGTCTTCAACAGGGGGTCCGCGACCCCAGGGGGTCCGCAGAGGTGCTGCACAGGAGTCGCGATATTTTGGGTGGATAAAACAATTTTTTTTCCCACAAATTTAAATGTCTTCAGAATTGTATTTATTGTCTTTAAATACACATTGACATGAATCCAAATGTTGTAGCGAATGAATACATTGATGGAGCAGACGTTATCTTCCAGTCCGCAACACACAAACTCAGCTTCCCACAGGAGGAGCTGACCACTGGTTCACTCACAGCTCCTTTCATGCAAATACGACAGCACACACCAAACTCCGTAGAATAGGGGGTCCCTGCTCCATCTCGCCATCAGTTTGGGGGACCTTGGCCTGAAAAACGTTGAAGAACCCTGTATTAGTGGAACGATCACGACTCTTTGCTGTCCTTGCCCCGAAATGGTGGAAGGAGCTCTGTGATGACATCAGGACCGCAGAGAGCCTTCACATCTCCCTCCGCAAACTAAAGACACACCTCGTCAGACTCTACCTCGACTAAAAGACTAACAAATTGTCGCACTTAAATTGTACTTACAATAGCTCTTATTTATAGCAAGTTGTAAATTGGCTTTTTTGATAAAACTGCAATCAAAACCATCTATTAGTGGAAAGGTTAGGCCATCGGACTGGGCAGATTTCTGGAGAAACCCATAAAAAAGCTGTCAAGATATTTCTGTTCATAGCTGACTATTTGACACAAAACCAGAAACAGTTTTCAAGACCTTCATACAGTAGGAAACAACCAACTAATAAATACCGTTAACATGAATGATCTCCTCATAAAGTTATAATCATACACACTATGACACAATCTTATAGAATGCTCAAATGAAGAAGTGGAAGCTTTATTAAAAGACACTTAATGGAATAGAGGAAGGAAATTGAGTTAACATGAAACTTGCAAAGCCCAAAGGGAGCAGAGATGCATCATGAGTGCATCTGCTCTGAGAGCATGTGACTGGATGCAGCATCTTCTGCTATTACTGTTTCATATCACTTTGTGAAAGTTTTGTTCAATATACTCAAAATGGATCTAAAGTTAGTTAGTTGATTTCTTCGAATTTTAACCAGTATACGTAGGCTTTTAGAACAATTTGACTCAAAATCTCGTGGGCTGGATTCTGGACTTTTAAACTAACAGAACACTAAAAGTGAAAGTAAAATGGACTTCATTTAAAAAACACGGTTGCTGAGTTGTGAGTCACAGCTGCACTCGGAGGAATGGAAAACTGGCTCCATTTCGAAGAACGACGCCCAGCCTCCTGCACAATGACCTTTCTTCCTTCTAGACGAGGGAACGTGGTCTCAAAGTGCACAACAAAGCGGCATAAGAGCAGTTTTGTTCCTGCAGCCATTTCTCAGGTGAACAGTGCACAGACGTTTGTGTACTTATTTGATTTGATAATTGATTGACTGATTTGTAGTCTTGTGTACTTTTATCCTGTTTGTCATGTTGTTTGTGTGGATTTTAATGTCTGTAGAGCAAATCAAGTGTACCTACTGGTACAAATAAAAGTAACCTGAACCTGACATCATTTCATTAAAGATAGAATCAAGCCAGAATAATGTTAGGGATGTGTATGTTGTGCCATGAATGTATTTTAAACCACAACTGGGGTTAAACAAGTATGAGTAATATTGGGGGAGAATTTGATGAGCTGAAAATTGTGAGTGTCGCCAACCTTTTTTGGAAAACTCGTGACCTTACCTTTTGCACAATGGCATCTTGTTCTTGAAGATAGGTGCCTTCACTGATCCATATCATGTTTTTCTCTGTCTGTCTTATGTGATTGACTAGGTCCCATGAGGGAGGGTCACGGGCGTCTCCCAACGACATCTATTCAAGACTAATCTTCCTGTTGCAGGAAGCTTCGCTTGTCACGAACCTTTTATAAAAGCTCCTGTTCTCCCTCAGAAACTTGGTCAGATCTTCTAGCTCCTCTGTGGGAGAAAGAACAATCTGCCCCATTTCATCTGAATTGTAGTCAATTGACTCCTGTCTGTACTTACGGCTTGTGTTGATGATTTTGGTATTCTTATGATTGTTCTATATTTTAGTTAGTTATAAATACTTAATCACAAAGCAAGTTCAAGATACTTTTGATTTCTCACAAGGGCTTAATCCACTAATTTCCACCACAAGTAGTACTCTGCAAAGCCTTGTAGTCTTCTGCTCTTTAAAGCTTTTCAATACTATATGTGTAAACACAAATCATGTGACCAGTCACTCGACAGAGCCTTTGCAGTGGAGAAAGAAGGACGTACGTTCTTTCCTTTTTTTCTTCTACAGTATTGATCACGATGCACGTCTGAGTGTTTGCATCAAGCTGTGGCTCAGGGACACATGATCACATGAAACCTTGGAGACAGTGTACTTTTTAAATGTGTGTCTGCCTAATCCAATTGGGAGCGGGTCAGCGTGCAATCAATTAGCGAGTGGAAAGGGAATAATGTGTTACACGTGCAAGCAGGTGATGCATGTCTTTTTCCTAATGTGAACTGAGCCATCTGAAAAGGCATTTTCTCTTTCTAAAAATTCGTTTTTAGCTCTTTCCTGTCAGTATTTCATTAAATATTGTTAAGGTTGGGAGACTGCTTTAATATTTTGGCATTATATTATGGCATTAAATAAAAATAGAGCATTGATACTTTCACTGTCGCAAGATTTGTTGTTTTCCGTTGCAATAGAAATCTTTTAATGTTATAATAACCTTATAATAATCTTATAATAATAATAATAATCTTTTCAGACCCTTGTTGTAGGACTATACACTGCTTGCTTTTGATGACACTTGAAAAGATTTTCCAAGACATTTTTTCTGAAAATTAGACTGTATCTTCTAACGTATCTTCTAACGTAAAAACAGAAAGAACACCGTGGCAGAAAGAACATTATCATTATTTTAAAGATTAACCTATGTTAGAAAGACCGGCTAAGACAAACGCAGCAATAGAAACAAATCTGCGTCACTAAAACAGCAGCAACACAATACAGTTATTTATCCGAACTGGAAGAAAATTGCCCGAATCCAAACGTTTTGTCTCTCAAAGTGTGGTTTATTCTGATCCAGTGTCTCATTGCATCTCGTGACCCTGCTAATTTTCCAAAGAATGCAGCTGTTTCCGTATTCAAGCCACTGTAGTGGGACAGCACGCACTGTTATGTCCAGCCCTGAGTATTAAGTTAAGTTGGCGGGCTATTTATAATTCTTCGGTTATGTGTTATTGTTTACTCACCTCTCGTTTCAGATTCCTCCCTCCCTCAGGTGTGTGGGTTCCACCTGGGTGATTGTCAGCCCCTCCCTGATTGTTTGCACCTGGCCCTCATCACCCGGTGTATTTATTCTGTGGGTTCCTGTCCTCTGTTGCCAGTTCGTCTTTGATACAATGTTCCTAGCGTTCCAGCATTTACTCCTGATAGCCTCCCTGTTACCGACCCCTGCCTGGTTAACGCGCTACGTCTCTGCCTTTTCCCTGCCGGATACCTTGCCTGGTGATCGACTGCCTGCCCGTGTACCGACCTTGGACCGGAACGTTTACGACCTTTGCACCTACCTGCCTCCTGTCGAATTCTTACACCCGTGTTTGTACTGCCATCCAACAGTAAAATTGGTTTACTGCACCTTCTTGTGTCTCCGAGTCGTGCAATTGAACCCACACACTTGTCTGCACCCTTTACAGTACGAACTGGCCACAAAGATGGATTCAGCCGACTCTGGTTCCGGGCTCACTGTCCTGCCGACACCATTACTGCAGCAGACGGAGGAACAATTTAATGCAGTTCACCTCGGGATGCAGGGGATGTCGGAGCGCCAGGAGAGCCTTCACAGCCAGGTTACC